ACCGTCTGACTGGAGGAGGTGCCGGTGTTCTTTATCGCAAGGCAAAACCAAGATCCCACCACCTGTCCTTTCTTTTCAAACCAATAATGAAGAGAAATCGAGAATCAGATAACGAGAGAATAATTGATGTGGGAGCCAGCTGGGTTCTTGCTCGTTCTGAGCACAGCCCTGGTAAGCAACCAGCAAGGCTGATTGTTGTTCTTCTCGTTTGCATGAAAAGAATTTCCTTTAATTACTTATTTTCTACGGCCATGCCCGTTGTTCAGGTTGTATGAATCTCTCCTCTGGAATCAGTCAGCAAGCTAGGGACGTACTGCTGTGGAAAAGAGCAATCCCATTCGAAGGCCCATGGGGTGACCTAACTTTCAGCACTGTGAGAGACCCTGCCGAGCTCTGTACCTTGGTTCCTGTGTGGGTGGTGGTGGGGTTGGGGGGGGCATGCAGAGAGTCACTATGCTTTCAAGGTTCCTCTTTCTTCAGACAAGACTGAAGGAGGGCTGAATTTTCATGAAAAGCCGTAAACTTCGTTGCCTTCTATGTCTGGTTGTACCACAGTAAGTGCACTGGGTGGGAAGCCTAGCCTCCAGAGAGTGTTCCGGGCTCGCCATCTTGGTTGTTCCCATCAAAGAATAGATCCCTCAACTGCCAGAACTTAAAGGTGCTTTTTAAGAAAATATTTTAAATCTTATTTCTATTTGAAACCTCCTGATATTTAAAAGAAAAAAATGTGTTTGATGCTGGAGGCTGAGCCCAGGGCCTTCCCTGTGCTAGACAAGTATGATACCACTGAGTTGTCGCTCTCATCCTTCTCAATTTATTTATTCATTTTATTTTAAGATGGACTCTTAGGTTAGGGCTCAGCTGTAGAATATTTGCTTTGCATGTGTTAGGCTCCGGGTTCAATCTCCAACACTAGAAAAAAAAATTAAGACAGTCTCCAGTCTCACTAAGTTACCCCAGCAGGCTCTGGATTCACTTTAGAACGTAAAGAAACTTTACATGTGACTCTCCTGTGTCCATGTTTCGTGTAGTTGAGGTTACAGGTATGCACCATGAAACCTGGCTCCAGGTATTTAAAGATTTACCGTGAATTCTGCTTGAAACCAACAAGCCAAAGGACAAACGACAAACAGCAATACGTTTTTAGAGAGGGTTAAGTCAAAAAAGACCTGCCAATCGTGGAGAACAAAATGGTCACCGCCCTCCAACCTCAGGACTGTGTGACTCTGGCATCTCTGCTAAGTTGTGATTGCTTATTTCTACTCCTGGGGTATGGCTTCTACTACAGAGAGGACCAGAAGTAGGGGCTTCCAGCAGGGGATGCTATGGAAGAGCAGGACCGAGGATTCCCCTCCAGCTCCATAGCCATAGTTAAACACGTCTGTCACTATCACGAACTGACTCTTCACACCCCTCCCTGAGGCCTCAGGCCAACGACCTTTACCACACTCTGCTCCCTCCGGGTGTATAAATGAGCAGCTTTTCTCTCCAAACTGGATGGATGCAACGTACTGTGCTTGCTTGTCACGTAGCAGCTGTGTTTAGGAAAGTCTTAGTTACAGAGGAACGCAAGGTTTTGAAAGTATCTTAAAAATATGGATAAGTATAAAGAGGTTCATCAGAGAGCCTCAGGTTTTACAGGGTGAACTGTTCAGAGAACAGTCTATAGTGTACTTTCCACAGAGACTCAAAGGGAGTATTGATTTATTTTAAGAGCAGAGGGGTTCAAAATTACATGCCTCACACAGCAGAAGCCACTGTTTCGCCACTCCGGACCTTTATGACAAAGAACAAAGCCAGGAAAGTGCCAAAAGACAGAGCTGAGACGGAGTAAGAAGAGAAGACCATTTATCTGGTCTCCGCAAACCTCCCTCTGGCTGCAACACAGAAGGGAATCTTTTTAACACAACCAACCTGGTTGCGTGTAGTGGCTGCGGTAGTTGACAGCCATCCCCCGGGACGCCCGCTCTGTGTCAGCAGGAAGGTAGTGGGAAAGGTCACCGTATGAAGGGCTGTGGCCTGGTGGCGCTTGCCGCCAAAGATTTCCCAGGTTGATTTGGCGGGTTCTGAAAGTCCTGAAATGCCAGAAGACATCAGGCATTTCCATAGTCAAGAGGGAGCGCAGAGGAGCCGGCTCTGCAACGTCCTGATGGTACCTCCTCCTAACCAGAACGCAGATGCCTGATGATGTCTCTTGGTCCAAGAAGTCAGGCAAATGGAAGGGAAAGTTCTGTGCAGTTGGAGAAGATGACCCAGCACCAACATTCACCACGAGAGTCTGGGAGAGATCCTTGGCCCAGAAGAAGGTGTCCCTAAAAATGAAGTAGGATTTCCAAATCAGAGATCATTTTCCTGTGTCTGCATCTCCAAGGATGATTAGAATGGGTTAAACATAAACAGAGCACACAAGTCATGGCATCTTTTTCTTGCCATTTAATGGAAGTGAAGAGTCCCGGTTTTCTCCCTTCCACATCTGGCCCCATCGATAACTAGACCAAATTTTCTAAAAGGACCATCTTTAGCTCGCAACCCCAAATAGAAGGGGTGGGGAAGACTGACTTGCCCAGAGGGTTCTGCAAGTCATCTGACCTACCACTCCAATCTGAACTGTCATTCTCAAGCTTGCGTGGTGATAGAAACTGGAAAAGGAAACACTGTAGTTGAGAGTTTGGAGGGTTACTGGAGACAAAGAAAGATGGCTTATGTTGCCTGGGTCTCAGTGGAGTGAATCTGCCTTAGGAAAACCTGGCCCAACAGAGACTTTGGATGATTCCACCAACATTTCCTTGGGTAGACAGAGATCAGACTACGACTCTCTCTAATACTGCTCTACCACCATATGGAAATATGAAGAAGAGGGAGATAAAGGTTCTCTGATCCCTCACAGACTCATAATGGGTGATAGCCAGGCTGTTTGAGAGGCCTGGACTGATATAAGAAGGCCGAAGCTATACAGATAGACTGCCTTGAAACAAACCTGGATCATCTGACCTGAAGCTACAGGCTACCCAGGCCGCACCTGTCCAGTAGCCAGGTGTGGCTGCCAAGTACAAAGGCATGGAAAGTAGCATCTAGGGAAACAGAAAATAACCAAGAGGAATGACAAAACAGACAAGGGGGCAGCCCCGATTTCACAGAGAGCTGTCACAGGCTCCTTTGAAAACCTACTGTGGGATCCCTGGCAAAACTTTTCCCCAAGGTTCAGTCTCTAAGGCTGATGTTAGGACATAGAGCAGATGTAGGTACAATGAAGCTGTTGTTCAGTAGGAGAGTCCAGCATTGTCTGAAAACTGTTCAAGACAGCCAGGAGCCATGGAGTTTGTGACCACAGAACAACCAAAGCAACAGGAAGGAGATGGGGAAGACAGTTGAGGTCACTGACAAAATCCTGCATATTTGGGGTAGAGCAGACTGTTGAGATCACAAAATCAGAGTTTCTAGAGAAGGATGGAAAGCAATCAGGTAAGAAACTTCTAGAAGTAAGCAGGCTCAGGCTTCATGTGATGCCTTCAGAGGAAAATAATCTCACCCCAAATAGCAAATCTCACCCACACTGAGTTCCTAACCATGTTCAACCATGGCTTCCAAGAGTCAGACCCAGGCACCTAGAGGCCGGTCCTTCAGTATTTAATCTAGATGAGGTCTGACATGATGGCAGCCATATTCCCAACAGCCAAGGTTGAGTCCCAGGGCAGTGCTGTGCCTTGGATGTTTTTGAGATAGAAGGAGCCCTAATTCAAGCAACCAACTGGATTCTTGTCCCATGTTAGAGTTCGGTGAGGGTAGATTCTGCCTAGGCTGACTCCATTTAGAAAAACTCTAATAGCCATGAGGAAAGGGATGGGATGAGTCTCAGGTCAAATGCGGGACTCCTCCTCAGTGAGGTAAAACACTTGGACACCATAGAGAAATCTATAGCTTCACGCCTCTCCCCTTAGGTCAGTACCAGTCATTCAACCCCTTGCCAAGACTCCTCCCCTTCTCCGTTCACACATCCCTCTTTCCTTCCCTTGGGAATCACTTGAGGCTTGAGCCTGAATTTGAGCTAAAATATTTATAAAAAGGAACTACTAACAAAATTCATTAATTACAGTAAATTTTATAATTTTGCTACCAACAACAGTAAGTTCATCTTTCAGTAACTTCATTCTCCTTCCGTTGCCACTAATGGGCAATGCCAGTCACTGACAGGTAAAGAGCTTCCAGTTGCTATCAGGGTCGCTGTGACTCGAGAGAGCTCATCTGCCACAACAGCACCCCAAACAAAACCTAATGGGTCTTTAATGTATGGGAATTCACCTAGGGGTTTTTAATCTACCTACCCAAGCAAACACAGACCTCAGGAAGGAAGCTTCTAGGGGATCGAAGTGTGAAAACTAGACGCAGTAGGTATTTGCTAGTTTGCCCCCTTGTCTCCCTCACTAGAGCTTGAGCTGACCTTTTGGGACTCGGCTTTATCATGCCTCCCTCCTCACTGACAAAATTGTGGCTGCTGCAAGGAGGCATTCTGTAGATATTTACTGAACATTGAATAATAATAATAATAATGATAATAATAATAATGATAATAATAATATAATATTGTTTATGGTGATGTCATGGGTGACATCATAGATGACCCCTCTGGGTGGTGATTCTCCTCATCTACAATGGTTCATGTCTTTTAAAAGTGGCTGGAAGTCTAACAGGAAATATGAACATTTGTCATATGTGGGTACATGGAGTGTCACCATGTTTTCTGTGTCTTCCTAAGTGATGGTGGCCTTTTGCAGTTTAAACACAATTCGATGAAAGAAGGTGTTTGCAGTGTAAATGGGGCCTCCGGTCACACCACACGGCTGTGGGCCACCCTGGCCGCCTCTGCATAGCCACCATATGCTGCTTAAGGACAGCGGCCCAGGCTGAGGCTGGAGTGCTCATTTGCATCCAGACCTTTGGGTCTCAGAGGAGGGGCCAGATGGGACTTTGCTCAGAGAACCACTCTGGTTGAGCAACTGGCCCCAGAGTGTTCCTGGGCCTCAGTGTGCCCTGAGGCGGGGAGTTTCTTTCCAGACACATGTTATCGTGTATAAAAACAATACCTTACAGAGCCCTGCAGAAATGCAGGCCTTCCAGGAAAGACCGCCAGCAGCAGCCTCAGGACTTCTCTCAGGTAAGAGAGAATCCCTGAGGGAGGCCAAGGCTGTTCATCCAAGTTCTGGCCAGGGAGGGCTCACCCTTACTGGGAGCCTCACTTAGACTGGGTCGCCCCAGGGTGAAGGCTGAAATGTTCTCCTGGCCAAATGATCACTCCAAACCCATCCAGAAGAGCTGGCAGCAGAGGGCTGGGGGAGTAGGGCTGACATGGTCTTTGTCCCCACATTTGGGGAGAGTAGGCAATAGGCAAAACCTAATCTCATCTATCTTGACCGCAAAGGACCCATGCAGCTCCGTAGCAGTCATCGGGCAAGAGGGAGCCTTTCTGTCCTGGAGCCTGTCGTTTATAGGGACTCCTGGGCCTTAACGGAGTCTGTCGTTCTCCTTTCATGGGAACCCAGGCTGCTGGACAAACAGTTAGTTAATCACCCGGGAGAGTGGACAGGTTAGAAAGGGAACTGCAAGCCACAGAGGCCGGGTGCTTGTGAGATGGTTCAGGTGTGAAGGTGCTTGCTTCCAAACCTGAAGGACCCAAGTTCAGTCCCTCAGACCTGCAGGATAGAAGAGCTGAGTATAACAAGCTGTCTTCTGACCACTGCATGCACGCGCACTGGGCCTGATTCTGCTACCTGTCCTGTGAGTTTTGACAGATCTCCAGACAGTGTTACTGTTGTAGCATCATTTGGGGTTTTCGCACACAACAGCTCCTGTGCCCTGCCTGTTTCTCTCATCTTCATCCTCTCCTCACGTGGACCTGGAAACAGTCCTCATAGTTTGCCTTTTCCAGAACTTGGAGAACTGGATCTCGACAGTTTGCAATCTTCTCAGACTGATATCTCTTAGCAACACACATATTGGGTTCCTCCACGTCTTTTCTTGGTGTGTTAGGCAGGCATTGTGGCTCCAGACTGCAATCCTGGAACTCAAAAGGCTAAGACAGAAAACTAGACCTGAGTTTGAGTCCAGTCGGGGTAATGTAGTAAGACCATGTTTCAAAAACAATAACAACAGCAATAGTATTCTGGGGTAGGAGTATATTCCAAACCTGTTTTTTAAACTACCCTCCTATTAAAGAACATTTTGATTGTGGAATTAATTAATAATAATAACATGTTGCTTTTTCTTAGATATATTCTAAACAATATCTCAATATGCAATCAATATTTTACTCTTACTGAAATATTTTCATTCATTTCATATTAAATCTTCAAATTCCAGCATGCGTCTTATATTACTGGTCAACACTTTTTTCTTTTCTTCTCATTGCGTGTAGACATTAAAAGGGTGATCATTTTTAAAATTGTGAGCAGATCACTTTTGTCTGATTCTGAGATCCTAGCGTTGGCCTTAGGGTTTTATAACTATGCCGTATTTTTATTATCTGAGGTCAACAGGAAAAACTGGCTATTGAAAGGAAAAACAGGAAGCACTGTTGCCAGGTGGGACTGAGAAGCCGATAGCTGTTTACAATCGATGCAGATGATGTCACGAGCGTTCTCAGCATCAGCATCACCTGCACAAGGTGTGACAAGGAGTTCGGGCCCAACTGTTTGCACTTTACTAACTGTCTTTACCCCATCCTCTTAGCTTACATACCTCAGGGGCAATCAATGGGCCTAAGCCCCGGTCAGCTGTGACTAGGATCTAACCTCATCTTAGCATTACATGGCCTTCTCAGTTCTTGCCTCAACCCTCTCAATTCTGCTTTTTTCATAAGGCAATTGGAGACAAGTCTCCTTAGGATCCTGCATTGTCTGCAAGTGAATTTGCCAAGATATCAATAATAAGGGTATCTTTGAGAATGTCACATGCAAAATCAACACTGCAGCAAGCAGAGATTTCCTAAAAAGCAACAGAAAGTCTTGCACTAAAAAAAAAAAAAAAATTATTTCACCACAATTCCAAATTGACCACCATCCTTCAAATGGCTGCACACAATAAAAAAAAGAAAAAAGGAAAATGTCGTGAGGGAGGAACGGAAAACAGGAAGAAGGCAGAGAGTGAAGGTAAATTTAGAAAGAAAGATTGGTTCCCTTAACTCAGAATCCAATCTTGTCATCTCCTTGACAACTGGCCCTGCTGAGGGACAAAGGGGCAGAGGTCAGGTCCCAGGGGTTCACCTGCCTCAGCAGAAATACAGGCATGGGGCCTGGCTGACTGGCAAACTGGAAAACCTGAAATGGGACGCTCACAGCCAGTCTGTCTGCTGCTCACTGCTTTGGCTCTCTAGTGAAGGAACAAGTCAGCGACACACAGGGAGGTGGGAGGTGACACTCATGGCCAAGCCATGCAGGGCCACGCTCCAGCCAGGCAGGCACAAAACAGGACCAAGATTATAGGAGAGTCGGGATGCACGCAGCGTTTGGAAAAACCTTCAAATATGTTTTTAGAGAGCCCCCGACATAGGTGCCCCTTTCCTCCAAACATTCAGGAACGATGTCGCATGGTTCCTGTGGTGTTGGCATCAGCAGTAGATTTTGTAACCAACAGATGTCAAGTTAAAATCAGATCGCAGTGGTCAGCTATGTTAGTCAGGGTTTCTATTGCTGTATTGAAACACTGTGACCAAAATCAACTTCTGTTTCATCTTATAGCCTGTCCATCATCCGGGGAAGGTGGGGCAGGGACTCATGGCAGGAACCTGGAGAAAGGAACTGATACAGAAGCCATGGGATGAGGTGCTGCTTATCGGCTTTCTCTCCATGGCTTCCTCAGCTTGCCTTTGTATAGTATTCAGGACCACAAGGCCAGAGGCGGCACTGTCTGCATCAATTATCAATGAAGAAAATGCACAACAGACTTGTCCGCAGGCCCACGGGTGGGCAGCATTTTCTCAATAGAGGCTCCCTTTTCACAAATGATTCTAGCTTTTGTCAAGTTGACATAAAAACCAGCTACCCCAACAGGGAATATTGGTATAGTCACAGGCCAGCCTCAGTAGCTTTGGATTCCTTAAGCAACTTTCATGTCCAGAGTATGTTAATAAGAGCCACAAGCTTGTATTTAATTTAATTTTAATGATGAGTTGTGAACACTGATGCCTATCCTGCCCCACGTGAATCTTTTCACTTTATCCTCAGAGTGACAGAATTAAGAGGTGGTGGCTTTTGTGAGGTGATTAAGTCATGAGGGATTAGGTCTAGTAAGAACTTGAAGGTAGCTGCTTAACCCTTGTCACCACATGAGGAGATAGCAATAAGGCACCATTTGTAAAGAATAAAACCTTGCCAGACACTGAATCTGTAGACACTGTCACCTTGGACTTACCAGTGTTCAGAACTGTAAGCAATAATTTCTGTTATTAATACATTGCTTAGATTCATGTGTTCTCTTATAGCAACCCTAAAGTACTATGGTGAATGGACTCATTTTCAGATAAAACGCAGTTGTGGAAGATGACATAAGGCCTCCGTCTATGCTCCTGACTTCAGCCCTTCCTCTTTTTAGAACAAGCGATGGCTTCCCTCCTGTCCCCTCTGAGACCTACACACGGCTTCTGCTCCCATCCATCCCCTTTCTTTGGTTTGAAGGAAAACGACGCAGATCTCAACAGACTGTAGGTCATAAACCAAAAAGAGTGGCTACACAATGGATCCCAAGCCTGCTTCAAGTCAGACATTTTCCAGGGTCCACACTTCCAGAGAAAAGCTCAGGCACAGGGGCCGGCATGCCTTGGGGTCTGAGCAGCTGCGATGGTTCTGAGGAAGAAGTTGGTCTAGGGGCCAATGTTGGAGCCTTACTGTAACGCTCCCCTCTTCTAACAGTACACACTTCTGTTCCATTCTAAGCAAAACATTTCCAAGTGTTTATGCTATAGAGTGGATGGAATTTGCATCAACTTTAAAAATAAAAATCGTTTTATTATCAAGACTTTGCAAATACAAACATCACGCGGATAGGTTAATATAGTCATGCAAATTAGCTCTTGCCCAGACCGAAACTCTATACATCTCTGGGAACTCCAGGTCCATTAGAAGAACCGTTTCGATGACACAGGGCCTCACTTTGGATTTTCACGTTCACTATCAATCTTTACTCATTTATCCACCACAAAACACATGATAGTTAAGAGTAGAAAAACATTAGCTTTATATTATTTTCTATGACTCATGTATTCTCATATTTTCCCGTCCTTGTTCTCCTTTCTACGTGTTCTACCGAAGCCACATGTACATTTGTTTACACTACACACCAGGACCAGCATGTGCAGGAGAAGAAGGACTTTTGTCTTCCTGAGAACGGCTGTGCTCACTTAGTGTTACACAGTCCCGGTGCATTCATGTTCTGTGATTTTTATGTTATTTTTCTTTAGACTGAATATTATTCCATTTTATATTTGTGCTAGATTTCCATCGTCCATTCATGTGTTAATGAGCATCTAGATTGGTTTCATTCTCTTGCTAAAGGGAATGGGGCAGCAATAAACATGGGATATATATGTATGTGTATATATGTACATATGCATATATATACGCATATATGTTGGAGTGTATAGGTTTCTCTGTGTATATGACCAAGAGTAAAGCTACTAGATTATATGGTAATTCAATATTTAATTTTTTTTGAGAAACCTCCACAATGATTTCCATAAAGACTACATTAATTTGCACCCACACCAACAGTGAATAAGAGCTCCTCTTTCTCCATATTTGTTGTCTGATTTTTTTTCGCACTAGGGTGAGGTGGTATCTCAAAGTAGTTTTAATTTATGTTTCCCTGGCGGCTGCTAGAACACTTTGAAAGATAGTTATTGGCCATTTGTGCTTCTTCTTCCTCTTCCTCTTTTTCCTCTTCCTCTTCTTCCTCCTCCTCTTTCTCTTACTTCTTCTGCTTACTCAGCTTTTGAGCCAATTTGTTAGGTAGCCATTTCACCTCCTTGGTATTTGCTTCCTCCAGTTCCAGACGCGAGCCCCTTTCTGCAGCCATTCTGTGAAGGTCTGTGTTCTCTGCTGATGGTCTCCTTTTACACCAACTTTTTAGTTTTGTGGAGTTTCATCTGCTGACACTTAGCGACAGCTCCTGCCCTACCAATGTTCTGTTCAGAAAGTTCTTGCCTGCCCCAATGTTATGAAGAGTATTCTTTACGCTTTCTTCTGGCATTTTTAGCATTTTGGGGTTTTAAGGTAAAGTATTTTATTCATTTTTGGTTGGGCAAGAGACACAAAGCTCTCCCATTCTCCTGCAGGGGAATATCTGGTTTTGCCAACACTGTTTGTTGAACAGGTTATTTTCCAATGTGTGTCTTTTGTCTCCCTTGTCCAAAGTTAGGTGGGCATAGCTTTGTCACAGTGGTTCTGAGGCCCTGGTCTGTCCCATTGGTCTACCTGTCTCCTTTCATGGCAGTTCCAGGCTTCTCCATCACTACAGCGCTGTAGTGCAATTCAAGGTCAGGAATTGCAATGCTGCCATTTGTGTTCCTACACCATAGGCTGTCTGTGATCTTTTGTGGTTCTATGTGGATTTGGGGGACTTTTTCTTCAAAATATGTGAAATATGAGATGGAGTATTGATAGATGCTGCTTTAAGTATATAAATTAAGCTTGGTAGTACAGCTATTTCCGCAATGTTAATTCTGCCAATCCTGGAACATGTTATGTCTTTCCATCACCTAGCACCTTCTTTGGTTTTTTTTTTTTTTCTTCCAATGTCAGCAAATTTTCACTCTATGCCTTTCTCTTCTTTGATTAAGTGTGTTCCTGGATACTCAATTTTTTGGAGTTATTTTGAATAAGATGTTTGAATAATTTTTTCTCAAGAGTACTTTGTTGGTATAGATGATACTGTTATTGTTGCTTTTTAACATTGATTTTGTATCTGGCAACTTTACTTGTTTATTAGGCCTAAGAATTTTCTAGTAAATTCATAGAGTCTTTTAAGTAAAATTAAAAAATAAATCACGCCACCTGCATGTAGAGATAGTTTGACTTCTTTTACTATTTTCAATCTCTTTTGTGTTTTAATTTTGTCTAGTTGCTATAGCTAAGACTTCAAGCATTTTATCAAACAAGAGTGGGAGAGTGGACATTCTTGTCTCATTCCTGATTTTAGAGAAAATGCTCCCAGTTTGGCTCTCTTATTTTGGCTATAGCTTTGTGTATTGCCTTTATTATTCCGAGGTATGTTCCGTCTATCCCTCATGTTTCAGGACTTTTATCATGAAGACATGTTGAGCTTTGTCAAAACGTCTTGAATAACTGTCGAGATAATTATGTGGTTTCTGCCCTTAAGTTTGTTTATACAGAATATTACATTTATTGATTAATGTACAGCCCATCAACTTTGCCTTTCTGGAATTGAAGCCTATTTGGTAACGTGCATGATCTTTTTGACATGTTTCCGAATTTTGGTTTCCAAGTACTTTGTTGGGGATTTTTGCATTTATGTTCATAAAAGAAATTAACCTATCATTGTCTTCCCTGAGACCACTGGGGCTGAAGACCTGGCAGAAAGGCCTCTGTAGTCCCACTGCAGTCAGAGGCTCAGTACACAGGACTTTCTGGTCCCTCCAGAGCGGGAGGCATGAACTACAGAGACTTGAGAAATGTCTCACTTGCTCTGTCATCCTGCCCTATCCTCACAATCCATCAGGACACTCGCTCGTGCCTTCCCACCACCAGGTGCTTTATGGCAAAATGTGCCCCGGCAGGTCTGGTGGCTCAAGGCCTCTTTCTGGTACTGGTCCTTTAAGAGGATCTGGGAGAGGAAGAACACTTATCCTCTCTGCTGTGATATTGCCACACATAAATGAAAATTCATGACGGATTTGTGACTAGTACATGTGGGGCAATGTTTGGGAGTAGCAAGAATCCAGAGCCCCTTAATTTATGCTGCCAAACAAACAATAAAATAATCCACTGAGTACCCACTAGGTCAACACAGTGACTCTGAAGACTAAGCTCTGCCGTCCTAACCTTATCAAAATCCGGACAGGTCTTTTCAGCACTGAAGTGACTAGCCACAACACTTAGAGGTCAGTGTACATTCAGTGTGCCCTAGCCTGCTGGGTCTGCCCCCACCTCCACTGCAAAGAGAAAACAGGCAGTAAGAGGAAGACAGCCTGATCAGGCAGCGTGAAACCTGTTCCCAAGACTGACTTGGACAAGAAATGGCCCGCCTGAGCCAGGAACTCCATGGCAAATCAGGAAGGTTAGGCACCTGGTCCAGAGGCCACTGGGTTTTATGTAGCCTCCACTTACCCCCCACCAGATTTTAGGTGGCCCCCTCCTCCCACACACACAGGGTTTATGTGTCCCCCACTTAGCTCTCCACCAGGTTTTATGTGACCCCCCCACTACCCCTCACATACACACAGGGTTTTAGGTGGTCCCCACTTATGCCTCCACCAGATTTTATGTGGCCCCCTCCCCCCCCACACACAGGGTTTTATATGGCCCTGACTTACCTCTCCACTGAGTTTAGGGCCCCCACTCTCCCCACCCCTACCCCCACATACACGCAAGGTTTAATGCGGTTCCTGCTTACTCTTCCACTTTATGTGGCCCCGCCCTGGAGCCTCTGCCAGGAGCTAGCTAATTATAGCCCTTCCAATTCTCCCTCCTCTTCTTATGCATAGACCAATTTTTCATTCATCTGGAATCCACTGCAGCATTTTAATGTGGAATGTCTACGTCTCCATTTCACTCCACGGAAGAAAAATGGCTTAATTTCTCCAGCCAATAGATTTTTGGCCCCTGATCCTTCAGACAGAAGAAAAAGACTCGGGGAAAATCAGCGGCTGGACTATCCACAGACATTTTATGATGACCATAAACAGGGTTGGGGTGGCTGACATGCCAGGCAGCATCCTGAACAGGGGGCTTAACACTGCCATTATCAACTGCCTACAAAGTGAGAGCCAGACAGGCATGGATGCGTGGATGGGCAGATAGGTAAGTGGAATGTCAGCTGGCTAAGGGCTGTGGTTTCCTCGCCATGTTTGCAGAATGTCATCACCCACTCCCCCCACCCACCCCCCGCATTTTCCCCATACACACATGAGACCAAATCAGTCTGTGCGCCCACCCACTACACTGAAGCAGATTTCATCAGGAGGAGAAAAATCTACTTAGGAAGGAAATTAGAGGCAAAATTGGGGTTAATCATTTTAGCTGTGTTTCCATTGTTCAGCTCCCAAGGCACAGATGGACACTGTTGGCCTACGCTGTCTAGGATTCTTCCTCACGACCGAAGATGGCCTAGTCTGGCTTAGGACAGAAAGGGGCCAAGGACAAAGACAGACCAGACTCCCACCAATTTATAAAAAATCTGAAAAAAAAATCTGGAATTTTGTTAGAAGAGTGTGATGTAGACTCTGAATAAAAACCGCCAGGGTTCAAATCCCAAATTTAGATTTGTCAAGTACTGACTTTGTGACTTCAACCAGTCACCTCCCTGTGCCTCAATTACAAATGGAGATAATACTAGCTTTTTTTTTTTTTTTTTTTTTTGCAGAACTGTAATGAGGATTACTAAGCTGTCCTGTCTAAAGTACTTAGGACAGAGCCCACACTACCGACACAAGTCCCTGTCACAGAATCTCATTATACAAAGACCAGGCCCTACCCCCAACAAGAAGATAATCAAATTTAACTAACTCAGCCTTAGGTTTAAGGCCAAAGGTTTTGCTTAAGCATAACCCTCTTCCTTTATACTGTTTATTGATCTTCCCCAGGAACCGAAGCCACACTCATTCAGATCAATAGCCTATGGAACTGGGCTCTCAGTGAGGAAGGTGTGAACTATAAACCCATGGTGGTAAGCCAATCTCTCACTCCCAGGGCCTGATCTGTGAGTCAAAACTGTCTGCCTTCGTCCTTTATGGCCAGTGAGTAACCACCTGGTGAGCAAGATGTCCCTCAGAGACCACAGTGAAGTTGGCAGGCTCCACTGAACTGCTGCATAATTAAAATGTCTCTATGTTTCTTAAGCATAGCATAGAGGTTGCCCCCAAGGCCTGCATAATGCTAGCTGCCCTCAGTTAAATGTGCTTATTGATGTGTGGCTAGATTCGGTGCTGGGGACCTTTGAGGACATGAGGGTGACAAAAGCTGGAGGCTGGTGTGTGTTAATATTGAACTTTCACCTTTGTTTCAGTGGCTGCCCCTGCCCACGTATTCACTTCTCAAACCAGATCCAAAGAATGCTTAATTCCCTACATATACTGTGTTTTGGGCTTCCCGTAGTGTAAGTCTACTGAGATGCCCCTTGCCATCTGGTTTCCATGACTACCAATCTGTATGGAACTAGGACTTATCTATGGAAAACAGGACATGAAATGAGATTGTGTTAACAGATGGAGTACTACATTGTCATAAAAATGCTAAGTGTATGGACGGTGTCTTACTTAGGGTTTCTATTACTGTGAAGAAATGCCATGGTCATGGCATCTCTTATAAAGGAAAACATTTAACTGGAGCCGGCTTACAGTTTCAGAGATTTAGTCTATTATCATGGCAGGACACGAAGGCATGCAGGCAGACATGGTGCTGGAGAAGGAGCTGAGAATTCTCCATCTTGATCCGCAGGCAGCAGCAGGAGACTGTGTGTGCCACACGGGGCATAGCTTGAACATAAGAAACCTCCAAGCCTCCACAGTGACACACTTCCTCCAACAAGTCCGCATCTCCTAATAGTGCCACTCCCTATGGGCAAGGCATTCGAGCACCTGAGTCTATGAGGGCCATACCTATTCAAACCACTCCAGATGGTGTCCGTATAGGCAAAGGAGGAGAGAAAACGATTCTAAACGGCAGCAGGCAGAAAACCCAGTGTTTTGCAGGTGCTCATTGCCACTCCACCAATAGTTATATCTGTACACTCATCAGCATGAGTATACTGAATTACAAGCAAATTTAGGATGGTAAAAGCAGACAGCTGTTTGCTGGGCTTTTTTTCTTTTCCTGTCACAGAATCTTATCTCTTTCTTTCTTTAATGAGAACAGGAAGTTTGGACTGATACCAACAGGAGGAGCATTTAGCTGCTGACACGATTGCTAGACAGGAAGGGGTATTTGAAGTGCTTGTAAAGCTGTACCAGGGGAAGCTGCAAGCCTGAAAACACGCTTGTCTTGATGAGCTCCGCAGACTCGGCCCCTCCCATGCTGGCCGCAGTCCTAGACCGAGTGGGGACTTCTCCCAGAAGGACACAGAAACAAACTTGAGGATGCAAAATTCAAAGAGGCTTCTGTCACCGGCCCCCAGACCTTAGCACAACAGACGCCATGATGGAAGTACCATGCAGACCTTGGAACCCAGCACACAGGCAACACCACCTGCCAAAACGGGAACAAAAACCTAATCCATCAAAATCCAGAGTTCTGGGAATGTCCCTTCATGTAATAACCTTGCTTCTTAGCGTCTGTGGTTCCACTTCTGGCCAACTGTTCTTGATAGCTGAGGTGTGTCAACATAGGATGTGGTTTTTGTGCTAAAAGCTCACCCTGAAAGGCTTTTAGCCTTTCACCTGGAACTGTGCTTGAACATACAGTGTCATCACCGGCTGGCCAATAGAGACTTTCTCTTGGCTTGAACCCCTGTCCAAGTGGTCTTCTCTGGCAGATACCTCACAACATCTCGATAAATCCAAGATTCCCTCCCTGTTAAATTCACACACTGCCTTGAAGAAATGTGCCCACGCTGTTCCGGTTTCTCCAGGCGCTTCCTTGGTTGTCCTGGTGTAATTGCTAATAATATCCCCTTTTATCTCAACAGTGTTCCTATTAAGACACTGAAGAATGCAGTCCTCTTAATAAAGGAACTACTGCAGCCCCAGCAGGGTGCCTAGGAATGCAACAATTGTCCCCAAAGACTCTAAAGGACTCATACGCAGACTCCCCATTCTGAACTCACAGAAACCAGGGGTTGGGGGTGGCATTTCTGTGCTCAATCCATAAAGGACATCTCTCTGTGAATGTGTGCTGGGGCCGCTGCTCTTGCTCTGCTGGAGCTCCCAGGATCAGCACATCTGGAACATCTGGCACAGCCCACCTCCACAATGAATGACATTATAGGGCAGCTTGAAATTAGTGTTGATGGAGTGTTTTCACCGTGGGGATCAGGAAATGTTACCGACTTTTTTTCTTACCCAGGGAATGGGCTATAAAATATTTCTCGGAGATGCGGATATGGCTTGCACTGGCTGAGCAAGCATGAAGAGCTGAGTTCAGGTGTCAGCATCCACGGAAAAAGCCAGCTGGGTGCTCTGGCGGTGCACCCCTGTGATCCCAGTGCTAAGAAAGAGAGAGGAGAGGAGGATCGCAGAAGCGAGCCTCACCAGAATAGCCAGCCAGCTGGCAAGCTCCAGCTTCAGTGAGAGATCCTGTCTCAAAAATAAGGTGTGGGCAAGATCATTGGCTTGAAATCCCTGTTGGTGCCTGAGCTGCCTTTCCGGGTAAGTCACTACCTCTCCATCCATGCCTTTACCTCACCCCACTGGCATCTACAAACCCACAGGCCTGGTTCCGGACCCATAGCACACCTGTATGAAATGAAATTCAGTATTTGAAAGCAGGATTCAATACAGAGACAGAAATGTTGAAAAGAGCTCAAGCTAAAATTTTGTTTTGTTTTTCAAGACAGGGTTTCTCTGTGCTAGTGCTGGGATTAAAGGCGGGAGCCACCCCTGCCCAGGGAGCACAAGCTGAAACGAAGATGGAATTTAAAAACTCAGTGTCCCAGTTAGAAAAATCATGGGAAAGCCTGACAAGTGAAATTAATCAAGAAGAAGATAGAATATCAGAACTTAAAGACAAAATAAGGATCTAGACAAAATAAGCAAAGAAAATGAAAAGGTTTTAAAAGCACAGGACAGAAATATGCAAGAAGTGAGGGAGACCACCAAAAGACAAAATATTGTAATTGTAGGCACAGAAGAGGGAGAAGAATCTCATGACAAAGAATAGATCCTTATTGAGATCATACAAGAAAACTTTCCCAAGCAAAGGAAAGACATACCACTGTAGGTACAAGAAGGACACAGAAGCCCAATTGGACAAAACCAAAGAAGAAACAGCCCCATAGCATATTATAGTGAAAACACTAAATATACAGAACAAAGAAAAAATATTGAAAGCTGTAAGATAAGTAGCACATTTCCATAGAAAGGAAAACCCCCCAGAATAACACCTGATTTCTCAATGAGAACGCTCAAAGTCAGAAGAGCCTGAAACGACACATCCAAGCTCTAAAAGGCTGTGCATGCCAACCTAGACTACTGTGCTCAGCAGAGCTGTCGTGGTTGAAAGGGAAAGAAAACTATCCATAATCCATACAGCCTAAAAAAAAATCCTATCTAACAAAAAATGTTAAAGAGAATACTGGAAGCAACATTCCAAACTGAAGAGAGGAATAAGCACAGCCAAGGGATTCTAGAAAGAGAGCAAATGAAGCTGTAATTTAATGAAAAACCACAACTAAGAATGCAAACAATCAGCAGAACAAGGTGGCACAGGTCTTTAACGCCAGCACTCTGGAGGTCAAGGCAGGCAGATACCTGTGAGTTCAAGGTCAGCCTGATCTACAGAGCTAGTTCCAGGAAAGTTGGAGCTGTTACACAGAAAAACCCTGTCTCAGAAAACAAAACAAAATCAAACAAACAAACAAACAAAAGAATGCAAACAATCAAAATAAACTTCAATTACAAACCTTTCCATAATAACTCATACGATTAATGGCTTCAACTCACTAATCAAATGACACAGGTTCCTTGAGTACATTAAGAAACAAAATCCACCTTTATATTCTCTACAAGAAATTCATTTTATCTTGAGATGGGCACCATCTTAAACTGAAGGGGTTTTAAAAAGTATTCCAAGAAAGTGGGATGAAGAAGCAAGCTGGCATTGCCATTCTGATATCTGACAAAATAGACTTCAAATTAAAACTAATCAGGAGGGAGAACAAAGGGTACACTTCAGTATAATTAAGAGATCCATCAATCAGGAAAGTATCTCAATACTAAACATATATGTACCAAACTCTGAAGCACACAATTTCATTTTTAAAAAATACAATGAAATTAAAGAAACCAATTAACACAAGCCCAGTAACAGTAGACAATTTCAACACTACACTTTCTCCAAAGGACAGATCATCTGAACAAAAAATAAACAGATACCTCAGAACTGTTTGACATCTTACATCAAATGGACCTAAAATATCTATAGAATATTTCACCCAAATGACAAAGAATACACATTGTATTCAACATCACATGGAAGCTTCTCTATACCAGATCATATGCTGAGACACAAAACAAACCTTGACAAATACAGAAAAATTGAATGTAACATGATGACCGGCTTGTTGGGGTTTCCTTCCGCCCGGTACCCCAACAGCCAGCAAATCCCAAAGAGAAATTACACACAGGACTCCATAAGGTTATAAACTGATTGGCCCATTTGGTCAGGCTACTTATTAGTTCTTATGACTTATCTTAACCCATTATTCTCATCTATGTTAGCCATAATGGCTCCATACCTTTCTCAGCTGGGCAGTTTACATCCTGCCTCTTCAGTGGTCTGCGCAGGAGTGGCAGAGGAACCTCCTTGCTTCCCAGAATTCTCCTGTTCTCATTGCATCACCTCTACTTCCTGTCTGGTTTTCCCACCTATACTGCCTGCCTGGCCAATCAGCGTTTTATTAAAATATGATTGACAGAATACAGACAATTCTCCCGCATCATTTCCCTCTTTTTTTTTTTAAACAAAGGAAAATACCCATAGTCCATTTGTTGGGAATGTGGGCGTAGTATTTCAGGCTACTTCCTGCTGGTTGGGGGCTGATGATCTTATGGGGACCTAAAGAAAATTTAGAGTTATAATCAAGTCCTGACTGGAGTATCCTGTGAGACCTGATCATCTCAGGCAGCGCCTTGAATCCGTTTTGGATGTAGAACTCAGACATCTGGGCCATCTATTCCTGTCGGAGATTTTTCAGGTGGCCTCCCTTGGTCAAAAATGATTTTTCTTAACTCTGAATAAATCCAGAGCCTCTCATTTTCTGTGGAAACAAAAGCAAAATCTCTTCTCCAAAGTATCATACCTTTTGACTTCAATTTTGAAGCCAAGGTATTTTCAAAATACCTATCTTGGGTTAGTTCAGCAGCATTTATAAACAACAGTCCTTTAGCAACTGTTGCTCCTTCCTCAGCATTCAAACAATTCAAAGAGAGCATAATAACACACAGTATCAAAATTTTCTGTGTATTTTCCATCTTTATGTGGCTTTACTTTAACCTCTATTTCTTCTATTTTTACTTTTACTTTTTGAGACAGGTTCTCTGTATATCTTTGTCCTGGAATAACACTGTAGACCAGGCTGTCCTTGAATTCACAGAGATCCTTCTGTCTCTGCCTCCCCAGTACTGGGCTCAAAGGTGTTTGCTACCACACCTTGAACTCACAGAGATCCATGTGTCTCTGCTTCTCCAGTGCTAGGATTAAAGGTGTGTGCTACCACACCTTGAAGTCACAGAGGTCAACTACCTCTGCCCCTTAAAGTCTCAGAGGTCAATGTACCTCTGCCTCCCAGGCATTGGGATTAAAGGTGTGTACTACCACACCCTATTTCTCCCTTTCTTTCTTTTTTATTTTTAATGACTTTAACCTTTAGCCTGCATATATTTTTAACACACTGTAAACTCTTTAGAGGTTTTCTTCATCTTTGAACCTCTCTTTACTGTATCTCTCTCTCTTTTTTGACCACATGAGTCTTTAAGGAGAGGACTAAAACTGTGGCTTTTACGGCTGGAATTAGCCCATTCCTTAGCTTTCCAACCTCCTGGCTGAGGTACCAGCCAGAGCCGTGTTCACTGCCACAACTCTATGGCGTTTCAAGGTCCTTGCCAGCAAGCAAGCTGCAGCTTTCTGCTCACAGACCACACTCAGTCGGACCGCCTGCCTGAAAGAGTCAGAATTTGCCCTGGCAGGACGGCCCAGAAAGCCAGCATTTTAAAACAGCACAGCTTTTTTCCTGCTACAGCTGAAAACCCGAAAAGCATGCGTTCAGCTTTTCATCAACACCGTTTAAGTGTTTTGTGGCAGGACCTCTTAATGAGCTGCAAGGTTTTGCAGCTAAAACTGAGTCAGGAAGCCTCTCTTAGATGAGAGCCTTGCTTGCCGCTAGCAAGCAAAGTAGACCCGAGAAATTGCTGCTACCAACAAAACATGCTTTACTCTATTCTTTCCCAAACTTTCTCAGGCTTTCTGTGGATTCTGTTATCCACGTTGGGCGCCATATGTAACACGAGGGCTGGCTTGTTGGGGTATCTGTCCTGCCCAGTACCCCACAGCAGGCAGGCCCCAAAGAAAATCACGCACAAGACTCCATAAGGTTATAAACTGATTGGCCCATTTGGTCAGGCTACTTATTAGTTCTTATGACTTATCTTAACCCATTATTCTCATCTATGTTAGCCATAATGGCTCTGTACCTTTCTCAGCTGGGCAAGTTACATGCTGCCTCTTCGGTGGTCTGCGCAGGAGTGGCAGAGGAACTTTCCTGCTTCCCAGAATTCTCCTGTTCTCATTGCATCACCTCTACTTCCTGTCTGGTTTTCCCGCCTATACTGCCTGCCTGGCCAATCAGCGTTTTATTAAAATATGATTGACAGAATACAGACAATTCTCCCGCATCAATTGAAATAATTCCATGTATCCTATTTGACAGTTTTCCAACAAAACTAAAATTGACAGCAAACAAAACTCTAGTAAACGGACAAACTCATAGAGATTAAACAACTCATTACTTAGCAGTGGATGAATCAAAGAAGAAGTCTGGGAAGAAATAAAAATATTCCTAAAACCAAACGGAAGCATAAATACAACACAACAAAACAGTGGTTGGGATGTTAGAAAATCAAAACTAAACAAAACAAAAACTTCTGCAAGCTAAGGAAACATCAATCAAGTGAGGAAAAGGCCCACAGAGTGATAGAGACTCTATGCCAGCTAAACATATTACATAGGCATAAAACCTAGAATGTACAAGAATTCAAAATACAGAGAGTCATGGAAACAAATGGCCAAATTAAAAAACGGTCTAGGGATCTAAACAGGGAGTTCTCAATAGAAGAAATAAAAAAAATGGCCAAAAACTATCTCAAAAGGCAATTAGGGAGATGCAAACTATAAGAATTTTGAGATTTTGTCTCACATCAGTTAGAATGGCAATGATAAACCAAACAACTGCCAAGAGATGCTGGTGATGTTGTGGAGAAAGTGGAGCCCTCCTTCGTTGTTGGCGAGAATGCAAATTGGTGCAGTTACCTTGGAAATCAGTTTGGAAATTCCTCAAAAAATAAAAATAAAAAAATAAAAAATAAAAAATAAATCAATCTTCCATATAACTCAGCTTTACTACTCCTTGGCATGAGCCCAAAGGACTTGACATCTTACTTCACAGATACTTGTCCAGTGATGCTCAGCGCTGCCCTATTCACGATAGCCAGGAAATGGGAACAAGTTAAATGCCCTTCATTAGAGGAGTGGATAATGGAAATGTGGAGTGCGTACACAATGGAATACTATTCAGCAACAAAGACAAATGAAACTGTGAAACTTGCAGATAAATGGGTAGAACTTGAAAAGATTATATGGAGTGAGGCAGCCCAGACTAGAAAGGCAAACATCCATGTTCTCTTTCTTCTCTGGTTCCTAGCTCCAAACCCTTAGGCGTAAGTGCATAATGTGGGGGTAAACACAGAACCCAAGATCGTAATAGGGACCATAGGTAGGGGCAGCTTGAGAGATAAACAGCAGGACACAGTGGATGTGAAGCAGAAAGCAGAAAAATATGGAGAGAGTGAGGGAGATCCAAACAGAAGGATAAGGACAACAGAAGGACTCAGGCACAAATGTTTCTGAGCACATTTGGACTGGTGATATCATGGAAGTTAGACGGTAAATCACCGACTGGTGCTGTCAGATTAGACAGGTCCTCTCTGAGCTCTCAGCCAAAGCTCCCAGTCACACTTCACCCAAGCCCCCACACCAAAGTATCCCCAACACTGGAGGAAACAGTTATCTCTTCCAGGTGGAGGAAGTACACAAGCATCTCCTTTACATTCCACTCCTGTCAGAGACAAAATGAGATGCAAGCACAAATCAGCTCAATTGTCTGAGGGTATGGCAGCTTGACTCACAGCCCAGCTCCTCCAATACCTGACAAAGTTGTTTGCATCCCATTACAGGAGATGACCAATATGCCATTGATAGAGTGCCAAGTATTCCCCAATGACAGCTTTTAAATTATGGCCATTTCCCCATCATATGAGTCATCCAAAACCCTGCCCAAATGACACCACTACACGGGTGCCACTCTACAAACTGGGCTATTCTTTGACACCAGCAATATCTTGCTAATTTCTTTCTTCGCCACCCATACCTCACTCAGCGTTAACTCAGTAGAGCCCTCAGTGAAAGACATACTTTATGATCACGGAGAATCCATTGTTTCTTGTCACATGCTCTTTGCTCTCATCTCCCTTTTGGATGCATGGCA